CTCAAGGCCAACATTTTAGGAACCCTGAGGGAGAAGGAGCCATCCTTTATTCAAAAGCTGCTGATCTCAGGTTCTAATTACCAAGGTATCAAAGCCAAGACCTATGCCAATTCTCAACTGAAAAGGAAAAAACAATATGCCTTTTATGTGGTATTCTGTCTGGGTCAGTGGCTAATTGGGTGTGTGACCCACAGGCAGGCAGATTTTTCTCCAAAGAATAGGCTCACACACTGATCTCTGAAATCACTCTCATGAACATAGCTGACATATTACTTTACCAGTTTTCTAAGTATTTCATAATCCAGTCAAATGGAGACCTGAAATCAGTAATCACCATGTTAATGATTTTGATATTGAATATCACGCAGTACAGCCAAGTCTGTCCTGCTAACTTCTGGGCTACTCTTCCACACTGAACAGGCAGGGAGAAAAAGCTCTTCCATCAGAAGTAATGATTTCTAGTTGCATTCTCTTAATGAATAGAATGATTTTTTCTAATGATGTTTGTAAGTAGGATCACAAGTCTGCATCTTGTACAGCAATTAACCACTAGGAAGAATGTATGCAGTGTATTATTTGTTGAAACTGTACTTTCGATTTGATTTGAAACTGTCTCATTGCTATATGTTTATCAATAAAACTTTGAAAAGAAAAAAAAAGAAGTAATGATTTCTAGGAAAATTTTCACATAGAAAGGGGCACAAGAACAGCACTTTGAATGATGAAAAAACAAGATTCAGAGAAGTAGTAATAAGGCGTTATGAGAATATGCTCATATAGGTAGGAAAGTACAACATAAATTCAAGGAATCATAAATAGCTTATTATTTAAAAATAGCTTGTTTTTAAGCTATTTCAAAATATTATTATCTGTGTGAAATTAGAGTCCCCCATCTTAATTTCCTAATGAGTGGGTTTTTAGTGATCTTTCAATGAAAAATTCTTTTGCTTCCTGCTTCTGTCGTTCTCATACATACTTGGCACTTTGTATGTGCACTTTGACACCACGAGGTATGTGTAAGTATTCAAGCCGTAATTCTATGTCCTGCACCGGTTCTCAAGTAAACACAGGTACCCATCCAGGGAATATCATGAAGTTCATTCTAATATGTTTTATGGTTAGACAGGATACTTTTATTCCTCTGACAGACAGATTAGTATGTTCCAGATGCTTTGCTGGATATTATTTGATACATTATATCATTACCTCCATTACAATAGAGTTTAAACTTTTTTAAACTCTTTATGTTTTTGTACTAGGAATCGAACTCATGCTTGCCAGTACCTCATGCTTGCCAGACAAGTGCTGTGCTGTTCAGCTTTCTCCCCAGCCCTTTAAACTCTTTTCCTACTTAGCATTTTTTACTGGTCATTGTGTGTGCTCATTTATATCTGTTTATTTTGTCTGTTACTAACCTTGTAACATTTTGTTCTCATTGGACCTATTCAATGCGTAAGATATCATCATCTTAAGAATGTGCTTGCTACTGGGGGACATTTTAAAAATATATGAGTGTATATATAAATTTATATTTATCAATATAATATATAAATTTGTAAATTTGGACACTAATAACTTCATCTAGATTTATTGTATATACAATGCAAATTTAAAGAGCAGTCTTCTCTGATCATATTTTATAGCACTCTGTTCTTTTCAGGTAAACCAGTGATGATAGTAACAGAGTACATGGAGAACGGCTCCTTAGATACATTTTTAAAGGTAGGAGTCGAAAATACTTTTGTTTTTGACAGTGGTATGCATCCATTGACTGCAACATTGAGGTTAAATTTGATCAACTTTAAATCCGTATTTGTAAATAGGATAGATAAAACTATAGAGTCAAAAGGTTGCACTCCAAAATTAACTGGCGTGTAGAGTCTGTTCAGAAAATTTAAACAAATACAGATTGTATTCCCAGACCAGTATTTTTATTTAGGTATATGCTAATTTGAACAACAAACAAAAGAAAGTGTGAAATGAGGAAAGGAAAGAAGGGAGGGGAAAAGGATGAGAAGGCAAGGCAGATGGAGGAAGGGAAAGGAAACCCTGTACCGTAGCAACGCCCTGACAAGGCGCAGTATCAAGCAGAGACAGGAAAGCCGTCTGCATCCGCGCAGAGCCCCAGTGAAAGTGTAGGAGTCTGCACGTACTCTTAACAGACACAAGGAAGAGACGCTCTTGCTGCGGTCACAGCCAACCCACAGCAAGCGAGGACAGCCAGTGTTGTCAGGTCCGAGTTTCAGGAAAAGAGACCTTGCTTTTCTGTGCACATCCTCAGGTTGTAAGTATGGGCAACTAATACGGCTTAGCAAATTGCATCTTTGAGACAATGCAGCACGTTTGTGTATCTAATTAAACCCAGAGGAGATGGCAGCTTGTGGCTTTCATAGCATGCTTATTGCTGCTGACTAAGAAGGCTAGAGGGATGGTTTTGAAGGTCCTTGTACGGGGCCATGCAGTAAACATGAGCGCTCCCAGCCCGCTGAACTTCCCTTGCCGTCTCCGCTCTCCACCAGGCTCATTCATGTTTTCAAGCTCTTGTGCCTTGAGGAGTCACGCTGTTCCTCCATTTCCCAATCAGCATCAGTGTAGCATTATGTGCCCATGTGACCGCTCTAAATTCGATGCCTTTGATGGAAGCCACCAGCTCCCAAACTGCTACTGTTTTCCTGGACATAACTCAGCCTTCCCTTCTCTGTCTGCTGCTGTAGATTCTCCCTTATCTCTGGACACATCATGTACCAGCTCCGTGTGCCTGTCCAGCTTGTTTCTTTTAAATCACCTCCAAGTATATGCAGCATTAACTAAGGTGGGGTGTGGGTAATGAGCAGACCCCTCCAGTGACTGAGAGCAAAGGTCTTACCATAAGAAGAAGAAGAAGAAGAAGTAAATAAGTACAGACAACCAAATGGGGTGTTTGACAAGGGCTCTCTAAGCCTTTATCTGCTTGGAACAGAAGATTAGACACTTGCTCTGTAGTTTTCTAATATTGTCCATTTGCCTTGAGTTAGGAACTGCATGTGGGTTTTGATGGATGATAATGCTTATTTGGAAGTTGAAGAAAAACCTTCCGTATTTCCTCTTGTGCTTACTGGTGCTTGAGTGGTACTTCTGATTATCTCCATAGAAGAACGATGGGCAGTTCACCGTGATTCAGCTTGTGGGCATGCTGAGAGGCATTGCAGCGGGAATGAAGTACCTTTCAGATATGGGCTATGTGCACCGAGACCTCGCAGCCAGGAACATCTTAATCAACAGCAACCTTGTGTGCAAAGTGTCTGACTTTGGACTCTCGAGGGTCCTGGAAGATGATGCTGAGGCGGCCTACACTACAAGGGTAAGATCTGACGGAGCTCATTTGTGAAAAACAGAGACTGCAGGCATTTGATTTTTTTTTTTTTTTTTTTTTCCAGAACCGGGGCTTGAACTCAGTCCCTTGCGCTTGCCAGGGAAGTGCTTATTCCACTGAGCCATCTCCCGGGCCAGCATTCAATTTTTAAAGATCTTTAAAAAAATAATATAAAAGGCATTCTTCTAACAAAGTCAAGAGGAAATTGACCATAAGAGAGGAAAAAAATCAAACATCCAATACTTTTTAATATCTGCAAAAGCAAATATTAAACTTTGATGAGTAAAATATTCACATAATCTGTGTCTCGATATTTTTAATAAAGGCGCTCATTCATAATGCATATAACAACATGAAAAAAATATATATATATATCAATAAAAAGAACCTAAAGACAAAATCTCATTTACTAACATGTACATCTACGCGTACGCATATGTGAATATGGACATATGTAGCATTGTTTGATAATTCAAGTATCAGCATTGCAGTGCCCTCAATTATAACATGAATTCCAATGTGTCTGGGTCATATGTTTTGGGGATTTACATTGTGGGGGGAAGACTTATTCTTTTAAAAAATATTGGATTTCCTAGAGATATTTCAATGGCTAATTTTCTTAATACTAGGCAAACTACATATAGTGAAAACTGGTCACTAACTCACTGTCATAATTAATATCAATCTACTCTTTTCTTTCCCAGAAAAGTGATTGCTTCTTGAATTGATTGGGTAAACAGCTGATAGTTTCTTTTGTGCAAAACTTGATATGACTATAGCATAATATTGTACTATTTGAGTTTTCAGTCCCAACAAAGAGTGGTATTTGTGTAATTCTAAATATCTTTAATTTCATCAAGCTGGATATCCTCTATGTCTAAACTCCTTTGTGAAGATTTGGGTTTATCAAGTCTTTTACTTCCAGCAGGGTTAACTTTGGTTTCAATATAGAGTAACCTTTCCATCACCTTTCCTTCTCAAGCTAGGTTTCACATGCACTCTTGATTTATTCAATGTTTTACAATTACATCTATAGATAGTCTAAAAATAAGTTCTTTGAGTGATTATAAGTGTTTTTACATTGTGTCTTTGTGACTCATGCATATTTGGAGATCTGTACTGTGCTGAAGGCCAAGAGTAATTAATCTAAGCAAACAAAGCCTTCCAAAGGCCTGCTTAAGAAATCAATACATTAGTTGATGGGGCATCTGTCCTTCTCTAGACCTAACTATACTTGTCACTGTTTGCATTAAATGAAAGCTCATTTAAGAATGCTTGTAGTATTGGAGTTCACTTAGTATGTGTGGCCTAAGTAAGATTGAGGTTATAAGAAAGTCTGTTGCTAGTGTGATTGGTGGTGTCTCAGTTAAGTGCAAAGAGCAAGTGCTTCAGGGCCTGAGCCATTGTCCTCATCCTGTAGATGTGGAAGGAGTGGTGAGACCCTGAGCCTTCCCAAAGGCAAAGTCTCTGAAATGTGTGGTGGAAGACTGGAAAATTCTTGAGGCGGGAAGATAAGGGACCTCTGAATAGCATGAATGATGCAGCTATCAAGGACCAGGAGGAACCCTGCAGGCTGGAGTTCATGTAATCAAATAGCCACACTTCAAAGTGGGATTCGCCTGTATGTTACTGATGGTCACAGTCCCTGCATAGGCAGAGCTCGTGGTGCGATCCTGACTATAAATACTTCATTGACAAACATAAGTTTCAGAAAAGTCTTTTCGTGTTTTAAAAAATTAAAAATAAAATAAAATTTAGAAAAAAGTTGCTTTATTTGTTATAATTCAAATGATTGAGACAAATTCAATTCTCCTGACTTTGAAACATAACATTATACTGTAATTTCCTCATATCTTGAAAGTTTGGTTTATAATAGCAATTTATTCAAATTAAATTGTTCTTTTTCTTTAAAATAGGAAGACCCTGCTGTGCTGGCCCTGCCCCTGGGGCTCGCTGAGACAGCAATTGAGACTAGGCGTGGTGGCACACTTATAACCCCAGCTCTTGGGAGGCTGTAAACAGGTGGATCACTGAGTCCGATCTAGTAGTGAGACCCTGAATGCCCTGTAGACCCTTCCCTAAAATACCAAAATAAAATAAAATAGGAAGACCTTTGGTCTTGTTTTTACAAAGAATTCTTCCTCTGTCTGTCTCTCTAATGTGTAGTTGCTTATATAGATGAAATATTTACCTATCTTTTTTTTTTTTTTTGGTGGAACCAGGGATTGGACTCAGACACTTGGGCTTGCCAGGCAAGTGCTTATTCTACTGAGCCATCTCCCCAGGCCCCCTATCTGTTTATTGAGAGGAAAAATAATATACCCTTCCTGAAAGAGGCAGACAGAAGAGTAGTTTATTGTATGCAACAAAAGTTAACTGGTGTAGCAGACCATGGCAAATTTCTCCCCCATAATCCAAGTTCAATACTTTTTAAACTGATCTAATTAAACAGACATGCATATTGTAGGTTACACAGCTTAAAGACACAGAGAAAGTATGCCATTAAGAAGAGAAAATCCAGTCTCAGATAAAATAATGCTGAGGGGATGTACAACTAAGTTGTTAATCTATCAGATTCTTCTGCCATTACACTTCTTAGGGTTGCATTTCCAACCCAAACTTCCACAAATTTCTGTGTTAAAAAAAATTATAAAGCACACAGAGAAGGGGAGTCCCTGCTCTCTCTTAGAAAGCCCTGGAAGTGTACCTATTGATTCGCTCGACTGCTTGCTCCTCCCTGCTTGGAGTCTTCCTGAGGACGGTAATTGAGATGTGGGTCCTGTGTGTGTTTGGGGAGTCAAGCAGAATTTAAACTAGAAACCGTCCAGCCAATTAGCAGTTAGCCTCCATTGCTTATGGGCTGGGAGACGTGAAGGGAGATTGCACACTGTCAAACACATTCACTTAGAAATGCTACATCTCTTTCTAGATCTTTTGATGAGACAGCACATATCCCTAGATACCCTGGAAGCATGTGAGACTTTGAAATACTCTTGTTCAATTTCAGGGAGGCAAAATTCCCATCAGATGGACTGCCCCAGAAGCCATAGCTTTCCGAAAGTTCACCTCTGCCAGTGATGTCTGGAGCTATGGAATCGTGATGTGGGAGGTGGTGTCCTACGGAGAGAGACCCTACTGGGAGATGACCAATCAGGACGTGAGTATGCAGAAGAGGCGCTTTGTTGTCCGAATCCAGACATGCACATTTTTTTCATCCCTGAAAATTACAGTTTCTTAAAAAGCATGAAATACTTTGCTTCCTCTGTTCTGTTTCCTTATTGTTGAAGTAGCCTTTGTGGAGAAATTGCACGAGTTAGTACAAAAGAACAAACTCCTCAGTCACATAAAAGCTGCCCAGTTCTGGAGAGTTATAACTCTATTATATAATGTCTCCCCACCTTTCTGCCTGTATCATTCTTAAAGATGAAAAAGAAGCCCTCAGAGAATGAATGCAAAATTTTATGACAAACCAAAGGCATCTACTACTATGACAAACCAAAAGGACAAACACGACTGGTGGCAACATAGCTCAGTAGACTGAGAGCCTGCTTAGGCAAGTGGAGCGACAAGGGTTCGATCCCTGGCACCAGGTCATGCAGGCCCCACCCCCATGCACCTGAGACCAGGCATGGTGGCATATACCTGTAATCCCAGCACTGGGGGCTGAAAACAGGAGGATCACTACTAGTGTGAGCTGGGTAGTGAGAACCTGTACCATATACATTAAATAAATAAATAAACATGTAGAAACCACAATCTCGTGGCAATAAATAACCCTTACTTTTTGATATAAAAATTTAAGTTTACTCACATCTGTATTTCAAGGTATTTTGCGCAACTGCTGCACTCAAGCTATGTATAGTAGGAACGAATGATAACATTTTTGCTCCTCCATGTGGATTTTCTAGAATTGACATGAATGGAAAGATAGTAAAGCAAAAGCGAGGCTGTTTGGGCAGTGGACACTTCTCTAGGAGGGCACTTGTGTGAGCATTTTCAGGGGCCCTGGTGAAACAGCCCATGAGACCCAAACAGAGGAGGAGGTTGAGGTCCAAGTCCTCTCGCTGCCCCTCAGCCCTGCAGCCACTGAGGCTCCTGCGCATGCGCCTGCCTTCCCACCGGGACGTGTTAGTGGTGAATGCTTCCTGGGGAAGCCTGTTCTGGAACTGCTGTTAGGGGCTCTTCCAACTGTCTGCTTCTCCACACTCTGAGATTGGAGGCCCGGTTCACACAGTGGGTGACCCTGTGCCCACTTGAGAAGGAGAGCGGGTGCCCATGTGTCCAGCTGTGCCCAAGAGTAGCGCCCGTTGTCTTCCCTGGATGATTTTAAGGGCAGGGCTGCACTGTAGCCAGGTGTGCTCCAGAGCCAGGTGTGGTGTCGTGTGCCCGGATCCCAGCATTCTGCTCCGCTGAGGCATGTGGAGCTCAAGTTCAAGGCCAGCCTGGGTAATTTACTGGCTTAGAAAGATCTTACCTGAAAATTATAGATAAATGTATAAATAAATAAATAAATAAATAAATGTCATGCAGCTCAGTCAGAAGAAAAAATCATTCAATCTCTGTTATGGATCAATGCATGTATAGTTACTTTGATATATATAATATATAATAGTATATATTGTTAATGTATATATAGCTGTGTATGCATTTATATAACTATATGCATTGATACATTCATATATGTATACCTATTTATCTTTATTTTTAAATAATCCCTTAGAAAGGTGATGTTATTACTCTTGTCTTGCAGTGAAAGCTAAGGATTAGAAAAATTAAATGACATACATGGTGGTACATGCCTGTAATCCCAGCACTTGGGAGGCTGAGTCCAGAGGACCACCATGAATTCAAGGCCATCCTGAACTATATAACAAAACTCTGTGCCACAAGAAAAACAAAGCAAGATAAATGACTTTATTAAGCTTTCAAAAATACAAGTTATACCAAAAAAATTAACCAACTTTTTAAAAAAAATCTAACCACCACACTGTCTCCTTCTAATAATTTGAAATACAAAGTTCAATTTATATGACTATTTCGGATTAATTTAGGTAAGACTAAGGTCTCTTTACTACTCTTTCTACTGATAAATGCCAGATGATGGCAAGTCCTACAGACTATGACATAATTTGGTTTCTGGGGTAACTTGAGGGTCATTTTAATGCCATCATCCAATTTAATTAGTATAAAAGTGCTTTGCATTGTTTTCAATATTGGGGATTGAAGCTAATGCCTTCATACCAAACTATATACTCAGCCATTTTATTTTATTTTACTTTATTGATTTTTTCATGCAGAATCTTACTAAGTTACTAAGTTGCCCCCGATGATGTCCAACTTGCAACTCCCCTGCCTCAGCCACCAAGAGTGCTGGGATTAGAGGAATGAGCCACCAAGCCCAGCTCAGCATCCGCATATGTTGTTGCTCTTGTCTATGTGTGCTTCACTTGGGGGAAACATTTACCCTTTCGTTGTCTAGTTAATTCTCACACTTGACATATTTTGAGTTCTGCTTCTGTCATTTAGAATCATTGGACTTCACCAACTGGATAGCCCATCATCCCACTATTGACAGTCATGCCTACTGTAATTACACCTGGAACAGAAAATGTATAGATTAGAACACAGCGCTAGGTGAACATCCCAAGGGCCACTGCTGCCTCTCTCTGGTGTTCTCGCATCCCTTGCTCAGCAAATCGATCCTGTGCACTCCGCGGTGTTCCATGAGTCTCATCTTCTGAGACCACAAAGCTGATCTCATCTGTCAAGGGTCACAGTAGAAGGCTGAGTTCAGCCACACCTTAAGCAGCAGTTGGTCTGCTACAATCCCATGGGTTGGTCCCAAGGGCGTGAGCTGAGCCAGGAACTCTCCTTATGAATATGCTATGGGTTTGCTAAGTTTGCTAAAGATTTGGTAATCCTCCCGTCTCCCCATTTCAACCTATAGTTTTCCTGACATAATCTGTATCATGTGTAACGATTCTGTTTCTATGTTCTTTTTTTTTTCTTTTCCAAATTTCACTTATTTAATGCTTGATAGCATTTTTTAGCATTAGTACCATCCAATATTAAGGTCATAAGTGCTTCATTAGTTTTTATTACTCCTTTATTTTGTAAAATTTTTTTTCCTGACTTTATCCATTTTAGTGTGTTTATACTTTTCTAAATAATTTTATTTCAATGTATTGAGTAAAACACAAGAGAATGCTGATTTAATATTGTTGGGGAAAAAATAGTATCAGTTACTGGTGTTGACCAGATTTTCCGAGATCATAGATGAAGTTTATAGATAATGCTTGTATAATTACAGATCTTTCTGTAAGGTTTGCTTTTAAAGCAGTGTCCTTTGAATACAGTATACAGTGAGAAAAATACATGATTTGTCATTTTTGAACATTCTCATGATCATCAGTGGCTTTATATTTAGGTTCAGCATTAAGTGTGATATTCCCCAGTTTCTATTGAATTTGACATGACAGATCAATTATAGTTGAAAAACATGATCACCAACTATTTCTTTGGGAGAAAAATTATCAGAGAATAAGGTGAAGTATTGATTTGTCAGTTGCAGATAATATACCCAATAATATCAATATTCTAGCTTCTATCTGATCTAAAATACTTTTTATCATTTCATACAGTATGACCTAAACCTCACAGGGGAGAGCCTTCTCTTTATCAGGCAGACAGAATGAAACAGTAGGTTTCTTTTGGTTTAGAATTTTTGCTGCTGTCATAGAGACAAACTGGAACAACACACAATGACAAAAAACTAGGATGATTCAGATGAGGTAAATACCAGATAATGAGCTATGATTCAATCGCAAGAAGTTAAAGTGATAACCTGTAATGAGGAGAAATTTATTTATTAAAGTAAACATTTTGAATGTCAACACTTTGCTGAATAAAAAAGCAGCAAGTTGAATACTTTATGTTTATATGTAGTGGTGGTGTTTTCTCTTGTATTTGTTGAATAATGTATAAATACATTTATTCTAATAAGCACCTAAATCCCAAAAGATCTTCAAGCTCATTTAAATAATCTATTTTTTCAATATTTTATGTTAGAATTATTTTTCTCATTTCTAAATGTTAGCATTCGCTATTTTTCCTTTCCCCATAAATTTTAATCCAGTCGTTTCTTCAGTACTTCTTTTGGCCCAGAGCTTCACGATAAGGCAGAAAGATCATTTCACTGCTTAAGATGGCAGCTTGCTTTGTATGGCATATGTCTTTATTCCTTTTTTATGCAAGGTTACAGGTGTTTATACATATATGATATATACCTGTTCATGAATGTGACACACACCTGCACTAAGCAACGTATGATATTAGAATATTTTGTCTTAGGCAGAAGCAGAATGTTAGAACCAACAAAAGCATAACTATGGAAATTTTAGTTCTCATCCAAGTACCCAAAATAATCAATTAAGATTTGATAGCAGCAAATTGTTCTGTCTCCCAGCCTCTGTGTGATCATGTCTACAATGAGCTCATGGGAATATTGCTTTCTAAATATTACTTTCTAAAATGAGTTCAGAGAATATTACTTTCCAAACACAATATTAATAGTCTTCTAATGGCAGGGCTGCCCTTGAATGGAAGTAATTATTTTCAAAACTGGTATCATCTTAATAATTTTCATCCATTTGGAAAAGTGATACACAAAGAAATATAAATACTTAAACTCAAAATTTCTGTATTTTGCTGTCAAGCAATAGCAACAACAAACAGATACCTTGGACTTCAGTCATTTTAGATTTTAAAACTCTTACTCAGGGTCTGTGATTTTAAAGGGAGCAGATCTGAATAGGTGAGTTCATATAACTGCTTAATCTCTGGAATCTACTGATCTAAGATTGATACTAAGAAAAAGGAATACTCAATGTATCTTTAATAATTCTGAAAACGAGGATGACATCATTCATTTGTGTGTAAATTACATTTATTTCTAAATGTAAACTCACCTGAAATAGAGCTGATTCAGTTTAAGAGACTGAAAGTAACTTCTAAGATCAAATAATTGCCTGCTTAGTGCCTCTGGCTTCGCTGTAGAAGGAGGGCTGCTCTTGGTAGTGTGTGGGAAGGAGGCTGTCAAGATTCCAGGCTCTGGCCAGACAGATAGAATGACTCCAGGGCACCCAGCACGTCACAGTGCGTGCAGAAGAGGAAAGGGAGGAGGCTTGCACCATCCCATGGCTCCACCCGCTTTGTAGCCAGCTGCTCCTTTGAAAATTAACCTGGTCCTTTAGTCACAAAGACAAAGATGGTGTCTTTGTGTCCCAGTCATCTTACGTTACGTCTCACCTTGTAGAGACTCAGCACCTTTCTGGACTGTTACGTTGAAGACCAAGCTTCCGAGTCATGAGCCTTTGGAGGTCAAAGCATTTGCAACCCACTGCCCTTACTAAATTAGCTTGAAATGGAATGAATGATTACATGGATTTATTTCACAGTCACATGTAAAGACTAGCAGCTCAGAAAAGGAAAGAAAACCTTTTCTTTTTCTATTTTTAAAGAAAGTCACTATGGGAAAATGTACTACTGAATAGCAGCTGTGAGATACTAGTACTTCTGGAATTAAGCTAGGTTTTTAAATAATTTTTCTAAAAGAGGGAAAATATGCCATGATTGATACTTTATATTAAGATAATTTGTACTGACAACATAGCTGTTAAAACAGTGGCATCCTGTCAGCAATAGGAAGTCTTTTTTTTGTGGTGGTACTGGGGATTGAACTTGGAACCTTATGCTTGCCAGGCAGGTGCTTATCCCACTGAGCTATATCCCTGACCCAGAAAGTCTTGTAGTAAACAAATTAAATAAATTTATTTACATAAACACATACATGAAAATGGATTTTTTTTTGCGGAACTGGGGATTGAACTCAGGCCCTTGCACTTGCCAGGGAAGTGCTTATTCCACTGAGGCATCACAGCCTCAATCTATTGAACTTGTTGTTTTTTTGCAGAACCGGGGATTGAACTCGGGCCCTTGTGCTTGCCAGGGAAGCACTTATTCCACTGAACCATCTCCCCAGCCCGAAATTTTTATTTCTTTTGTATTTATTTATTTGATTATTGAGACCAAATATTTTCTTGAAATTTATTTAGTATTTTCATTATTTATTTTGTCAGTTTGGGTTAGTGTCTACTTCTCATTTATTTTTAAAATTATTTTATTTTCCAGCATTGATGATGTATTATTGTATTAGATATGTTGTAACTGTTGAGAAGAATTTCTTCTGAGGTTTAGGCTTTAATTGCTTCTATAGTTTTGTAGTTAACTAAGGTGCCGGTGGCTGAGGTCATTTGCCTGTAGCTATGCAGTTATTTCTTTGGCCGTTTATTTCAGAGTCCTGGAGTAATTTTATTTCCCTGTCGTTGCTTAATGACTGGTGCTGCTCAGGAACCTTTAGTATGTGCTTTGCCCAAGGAGATATAAACTACACCAGCTTCAAGCTGCGATCAGGCACTGATGACCCTCACGTTTATGCTGTCAACCCCCAACGTCTCCTGTGCTCTAGCCAGATACCTGCTAATACCATCTGGGCGCTTCCTGTCACCTGAGATGAAAGAATCCCCAGATTATAACTGACAGCATTTCCTCACTCTATGAATTTGCTCACCTCAAGTTTAAAAAGAGAACAATTCACTGCACTAGGCTTGAGGCTGATCTCTGTGCTCCCTCCTTCGGTGCCTGAGATTCACTGCTCAGTCTTCTGCCCATCTCCCCGGCGTGTGTTCTAGTGTTATCGCCTTTCACATGGAAAGGGTGACTTCTTTCTCATCCTTGCAAAGCATTCTTGTGAAGTTTCCATCCTAATAATTTTTTCCATTGATTATTCCAAATCTAAATTATTCACAGCAAAGTATAACTAAGTTTGTAAAAGATACACTTATAATAGGATTTTCAGAAATATGACCATTTGTACTAGTTTTTAATGTTCAAATGTTCAAAACTGCTTAAAAACTGTATTGTCATATTCAATGGCATAAACAAATCTCTTCAGGATGTAGCAATTTTGGGGGCAGCAGAAATATTACAAATGTTTTCGATGCAAACCTCACGATTGGGCTGATATTCACGTGTGTGGTTATATTTAAAGTCAGTGACGGTTATACTGCCTGTTCTAGTAGACACCATTCCTAATTCCTGACGGGACTCAGTAGATAATAATAAACAGTCAGACCTTGACATTATTAAATGATACATGAGACAGTTATGCTAATTTAGCCTTTGACTTATTCATTATTTTCCACCCCAAAGGCTCTTTTGAAGTAAAATTGCCATTCTATGGCTTTAAAAATGTGACTTTGCACATAATTTTTCATTAAAAAGACATTAACTTTTTAGAGAAATCATTAGAAAATTTAATCTGTATTTGATTCCAGAATGTAAAGATAAATAAAACATGAAGTCTGTATTTTATGTCAATGAATCTTACAAATCACCCTTCACAAAGATTTTAGACAAAAATGAAATCCATTTGTTTTGTTTACAATATGGGAAGAAAGTCTATCGTTGTATACTGTGAAACTGTACTTTTTTCCCCAACAAAAGAAAAACGGCAAGGAATTTTTTTAAAAAAATTACTGATTCTAGTTATTATTCAAAAAGACATAATGAGAAATGAAGTCGTTGGATGTGGGTGGTTTCCGGGCTCTTTGCGCCAACCGAGTGACCCCCGCGGGCCGGCTCTGCTTCGCCCCTGCAGGTGATCAAGGCGGTGGAGGAGGGCTACCGGCTGCCCAGCCCCATGGACTGCCCCGCCGCGCTCTACCAGCTCATGCTGGACTGCTGGCAGAAGGACCGCAGCAGCAGGCCCAAGTTTGAGGAGATCGTCAACATGCTGGACAAGCTGATCCGCAACCCCAGCAGCTTGAAGACGTTGGTGAACGCGTCGAGCAGGTACAGCCCTGATCTCAGCACTTTGCGTGAACGTTTGTCAGTGTGCTGAAAGCCTCATCATCCTACCAGTTAATTACTTCTCATGTAAGCTAATCTATGGCAGGAATATATGGAAAAGCAAGTTTTGCATCATAATGAGTCTTATGATTTAGGAAATATCAGTGATTGTACTAAAAAGCAACCAGCCATAACCTAATAGTGTGAGGAGCCAAATGAAGAAAAACGCATAACCACTGGCAGGCGCCATTCGCCGGTATGCAAATGGTGTACAGTCTTTCCGTGGGTACATGTGGGCAAGGAAAGTCAGATTATAGGAAACGGCCAAAGGTATACTGGCATATTTTAAACCAGAATATTTAACGGCAGTTACACTTTCATTTCTTTAAAACATTTTAGTATCTACATTGTAAATAAGAATACCTTTGAGTGTTCATATTTTATGAACCCAGACAACCAGGAGGATCCTTTTGATTTTCTCCAGTTGTACACAGATAATTAATTGAACATTTAGTGTGCAGTTTCAACAGGATTTAAAGCTGATAAATAAGTAATATCGGGGAGCAAATTTGTGTGAGCCAATGATTATATTTTATACTTTTCCTGAATAGCAACATGAATGCATTTAAATAATGTCACATACATATAGAGTGTGCTTTTCTTTTTATCTGAAAAATTACTTCTTATTTTTTCTAATATTAATCAATTTGATTTCAAATTTAAAATTTACTAGGTTATTTTCAGTAGACATGGAATTGCCTGTTTTATAAGAACACTGTTATGCAGTTCTCAGAATTAGCTGCCTGTTAGCCTGAACTAAGTGTAAACTGTTTATAAAGTCACAAAAGTTCTCTAATTTTGACATACCATTAATTGATGGGATACAAAAGTCATCTTAAATACAAATGAGGAATGAATCTTCCAGCTTGTTCAAGCATCATTAGCTTTCTGTAGCAGCAATCGGAGAACACATCTTCTTAGCAATTATGCCTTATGTTGCTCCCTAAATTTTAAAAATTGCTTATTGCAATGTAAGATATTAAGCCTTCCTCTCATCTACTTGTTTGAATTGTGTTATTTTGTCAAAAATGGGTATAAAGGGAGGAAAAAATAAACAATATTCTTAATATTCTAAATTTTAGTAATTTATTTCACCAACCTTATTGTAAGGTGACAGCAGTATCTTTCTTTTAAAAACAAAGGTTATATTTTTATCATAGTTAAAATTGTCTTGGCAGGTTTCTTTTCTTTTTTTTTTTCTTCTTCTGTATTTAGGACAGGGTCTATAAGGTCTCACTACATAGATCAGACTCAGTGATTCTTCTGTTTTCAGCCTCCCAAGCACTGGGATTACAGGCGCATGCCACCACGCCCAGTCTCAGTTGCTACCTCAGCATGCGGGGAGTGGGGGGCCGCAAGGGGCGGAGCACAGCATGCCAGGGAGCTAACCCGGCCACTGCACTCTGCCTAAGCATGTGCTTTAGTCTTCTGAGCTCTCAGGCCAGCCCTATTGCCAGGTTTTGTTTAAGAAGGTTTGGCTTTGGGTCAGGGACATAGCTCATTGGTATAGCATCTGCCCCAGCATGAGGTCCTGAGTTTGATTCCTGGTACTCTAACAAGCAAAATAGGTTTAGCTTTCAAGCTATACCACTCACTTCCCCTCATTTATTCATATGCAAATCTTAATTCTAGCGGATGGCAACTCCTACTTCTTTTTTCCCTTTGCATTCCTTCTCTGTCACAGATTTGGTGATTTCAGTAACCATCTGAATGCATTTGTATATCTGTCAACAGTTTGAAGTTTCCTATTCCATTGATTTTGTTCTTTAAGTCTGCCTTGGACTCCCCTTCCCTGGGTTATAGTCTAGACCTTCCTAGTACCAAAAATTGTAATACAGTTAGAGTTTCTCCTTCAAAGTCCTACTCACCAACTTATTCCTCTTGTATTTCTGTCCCTAACAATTTTTTGAGCCTGCTGTTTAGTGGTCACAAATTGCTGCAGTTCATTCATTCATTCATTCATTCATTCATTCATTCATTTAGCAAACATTCATCTTTGCCTTTTGTGTCATTCTGAGGACTAGGAGCCAAGAATAAGGCATGAGATAATCCTAAGTATCTACCTGTATGTAGCCTTCTGTTGGAGGAGAGACTGACTGCTCAAAATAAAAAACTCAAAGAGAACTCATTGTTTGGTTGGAGGAGGAGAGTGAGAATAGGATTCAAGGAGATGATCAAAACTAAAAGACATCATGTACAGTAGCTAAAATTCCCTATGATGAGTGTGATCATTATGTATATTGAAACTGTACCAAGAAACTAATTAAGAAAGGAAAGATGATCAAGAGGGTAGAATGCTTGTGATGGGGAGCCCTGCAGGTGCCTTGGAATGAAGCCATGAGGAAGAGGCAGAAGTCAGCCCATGTGCACCATGTGAGTAGATGGGGCAGTGTACAGAATGACAGAGGAGGAGGCTGAGGACAAGGAAAGGGTGAAATGCTGTCTCACCTCCTGTCATGGGAGCGCTTCAGTAGCAGGTGCGAGTGGGAAAGATGAGGAGTGTGTTTTGAGCTATGTTTGGGTGACATTCTTGTGAGAAATATGAAAGATCAGAGGAGACCTATGGATAGAAGTGAAATCTAGTCTGGAGATAAAAGTGAGAAATACAGTTGCTATTTGAAATTATAAAACTGGGTGAAATAATCCAGGGAGAGTGGAGTTACAGTTTGAAAGAAGATACAGGGGGGGCCTGCCCCTTAGCTCAGTTCTTTAAGTGGCTGCTCAACAAAGCAGTCAGGCTCAGTTTGCTGTGGTTCAATCCCCACAACTCAAGCTAGTCAAACCTGCCCTGAAGGCATTCAGAGCCAAAAAAAAAATGAATGAAAGAAAGAAGATATATGGCAAAGGACCAGCTTCCTGTAAATTTTCAAACCAGCAAAAGGAGTAAAAGTCACAGACATTGTGGAGAACCCAGAAGCACACAGTATCATGAAAGCAAAAACCAGGGTGCATAGTAACATGGAAACTGGTGAGCTGGAATGAGATTTCAGGAGGGAGGCAGGAGATATATGTCTGTGAGAGGTCAGTCATCTCACGAACTGAAAAGTATTCAAAAGTTTTGACAAAATAGATGTCACTCCTAACACCCAGTCAGAACAATTTTTATAGAATTAATTTTGTAGGGTCAGGGGAGATGGCTCAGTGGAATAAGTGCTTCCCTGGCAAGCGCAAGGGCCTGAGTTCAATACCCAGTTCCACCACCAAAAAAAAAAAAAGAATTAATTTTGTAGAAACTGAAGTTGTCTGAAGTATAAGTAGGTATGTGAGAGAGCCCATAGAACGCAAGCGCAGAGAAAGATAATGACGTCGTAGTGCATCTCACAGCAGGGATGTGTTTAGGTGGTCACCCATTCAGAGGCATGTAAATTAATTCTGATGTTCAGATACTTTTTTTAACCATCTTTCCTGATCATCTCTTTAGGCTACAATTTTAGAAATCATCATCAATATCATCATATCATTATTTATTATTATTGGTCAAAGAGTATGAATTTAGTAGAATAAAAATCACACCATGTTTTTGTTGATTTTATGCAGTTATTGTATGTATTTGGAATTACATTTCATTTTCTAAGTCCTGCTTCTTGCTTCAGGTGAACTGGTAATCACGCTTACAGAAGAGCAGAAAATGAAGCATTAAATGACTGCTAGAGTATCTGAGAAATGATCTTAAATATGCTTGGGATCCTTTAAAAATTTCTAAAAGTAATTGGGTTTGCAAAAATTATTCCACACATCTATATTTGGTAGCATTTTCTGTACTTTGTAAGGGACACAGTAGTTAAAAGTAAACATATTTACATGAGTCTATGAAAATGTTTAGTATACACTAATTTAAATCAACTTTATGTGCTCACAAAACTGAGCAAGAGATAGAGATCTTTCCTCTCTGCCTGCGGCCTCTCCACCTGCAAAAACCTTCCTTTATCCCACCAGCGGTGTCTGCCTCCAGAGTGGCACATGACGACCCCACCTAGACATGCCATTGTAAGTAAAGGTCTAGCTTCACACTAGGCTTCACTCAGTGTTGTGTATTCCATGGGCTTAGACAACTCTACAATTATCTGTGCACCGTTACCACAGCAGATAGCATCATTTTGTCGCTGTAAAATTCCCGAGTCTGTGCATTTCTACCTATGAAATTTGGTATTTATCTCTTTCATAGAAATTTAATGATTAGCCTATTATAAGTCTTTTTTCATGATGCATTATAAAATACTTGGTGCACTGATTTTGTGTCCTCCTGTATTTTGAATTATTTGGTTCCAAGGTATTATTTATATACTTTCTCTTTTAAATAGTCACCAAGATCCATGAAATAGGAGTTGACGTTTCAGCAGACTTTGTTGGAAAAGCCGTGTGATGTTTGTGTCTTGTGTGTTGTGTGTTGTAGAGCATCCAGTCTGTTGGTGGAACATGGATCCCTGGGGTCTGGGGCCTACCGGTCAGTAGGTGAATGGCTAGAAGCAATCAAGATGGGCCGCTATACAGAGATTTTCATGGAAAATGGATACAGTTCAATGGACGCTGTGGCTCAGGTGACCTTGGAGTGAGTAATTTTTCTGCTAATCTTTGCACAGTTGCCAGGGCTTAAAAAAAAATTGCTCAGAACCCAGTCTGGATGAGATCGAGGGAACCTGTTCCCCTGTGTCTGTGTGCGGTGGCTTCCAGGGAAGCCTCCTCCTCCTTAGCCTGTATTGTTAACAACTGCATGGTTCTTGCTCCTTGTGGCCAGCGTCTTTGCTTCTTTGCTTCAAACAAATAGTATTTGAATAATGGGACTAAGAGTTCCTTGGCAAAGTACTTGTGTTGTGGAAAGATCTTTTCTTGACAGAATTTTATACTTGTCCTATGTTCAATGTAAATACCAAACAGAACAAACTGTAAGCACAATTGGTGTGGCTATGCTATACAACAGCAGGACGGATTCCTAAAGTGCAGCTCTCTGTGACAAACACCCGAGTCATGAGTCGGACAGGAATGTCATTTCATGGCTGAGTGGTGCACTGTAGATTCCTAAGATCCAAGACTATCTCACATCCTGCCTCTGATGTATCATTTGGTACAATCTCAGTGGAACCAGTTGTGCCCTTTCTTGTGTGCACGTTTAAGATGAAGTTTATTAAATCTATTGAAATGAAAAGTCACTAGAATTCAATATGAAATTATTTAAGGTTGTAAGTCGTTTGTATTTTATTCTATACTCTGTATGTGTGATTATTTCAGCCTAATTGTTATTTGTGAAAACTGTCCTTATGGTGGCTCCATCTAGGTGACATTAATAATAATAATAATAATAATAATAATAATGTTTTAACCTGTGAATACAATAACACACTTCATATTACCTACAGATTCAAAGGTTAAAATATTGTTGTAAAGATTAGAAAATGTTAGATTGTCTAAGTCACTAAGCCATAGTTGTCACTTAATTTCTTCGTTTCTGTACACATCGGACAGTTGTGTACTTTTCTGGCATTCTTCAATTCACTGAATTCACTGCTGATCTCCACGAAAGGTAACAGGGTACCATCATTATCACAATGAATGTCACACTCTCAGCCTTCTCCTTGTTCACATCAAAGCTAAACAAACCTAAAACCACAAGCTCTCTCCCTGCTTTTTAAAATGCATTCAACGTCATTCTTACTGTCACTATCAAATCATAACTACCTAACGACATGTAGTCTCTGTCCATTATTTCTTTGGACAGTCAAATGAACTTATGTGTGGTCTATTTAAAATAGTATGCTGAAAAATTTACTGATAATGTCAAGCTATTTTTACATGACTGCTATTTAATTTTCAGTAAAATGGTCATTTTAATTTATTAAAGTCATTTGTCATTTTATATTAAAATGATACTGTAGGTATTTCTTTTACCCAATGTCAGATTACTTGTAAATATATAATAAAATTATTTGCATTAAACAATGTCTCTTTTTTATTAAGGTAGCATATATTCATATATAGTTAGATCTACATTTTTGTTGTTCACTTTACAGAAAAGTTTTAAGCATAAAGAATAGTTTTATATTAACTGTCTATGTTTTACTTTATTTCTTCTGGGGACCCTAAATAATATAAAGATGGCAAATATCTCTGTGTTATTGTTCCTCCTGTTCTTGAATTCCTTCCCCTTTGCCTTCCCCTAAGTTCCTGTGACCCCCGATTCCCTTCGTTGTGCTCTTTTCTTCTCAAGCCCTAACTTCTTCCATCTTCTCCTATTGGTTCTTCTCCTGTTTGGCACCTCCTACACTCTTCCTCCTGTAGAGAATCTATCTTTAATGCACTTACTCTGATCAACCAGTAAGATGAAACATGTGACCCAGGGCGACATCCTTTTCAGAGCATATCGTCGTTCTGATACAATTGTTTCACTCCTGGACCCAGAATGATTACAGCGGTCCTTCCTAGGAATTGGGCCAGTGAATACTAACTCCAAGGAAGCAAATGTCTCAGAAAACCCAGCAACATTCAGTGTATGTTCTGGTTTATTTTGGTTTAGATCACAGCTATCCTAATTGGTAAGAATGTATTCAAGTTATGTTAACTCACAAAATAAAGAGATAATCAGTAATTTATGTTTTCAAGAGTTAAAACAAAATCATTTTTCCTTTTTTGTTTAACACTCTACCAAAAGAAATAAAAGCTATTCTTTACTAAGATCTACTGTAATTGGACAGGACAAAAGTATTTTCAGCAGACAGCAAAAACAGTATCTCAAAACATCTTGATAACTTCACTCAATCTTCATTCAGTATCTACATATTAAATTTATGATACCTGTATAATACTTCTTATGTAAGAAATAAGATATCAAAATATAAAATATTATTCTCAGAACTATTGTCATGAGCTCATAAAATCTGACAGTGGAAGAATATAGTTGTAGCTGTTTTAAATGGCTAAAAAAAGGTTAGGATCACCTCATACAAAACATAATGTTCAAATACCACATATAAAAAAACTTTTTTTTTGTAATTTGTAACATTGATTATGCTTTTGTAGGTTTAGAAAAGAAGCAAAAATATAGTTTGTCACAGTCACATACTTTAGTTAAAAACTTGTTGATGAAAGTTTTTGTGTGGGTTATTCACCAGTACGGGTTGGTTTGCATGAATGTGGAAAAAAGAATTTGGAAGCCATGGAGGCAAAGTGTGTTAAGTGAAAGTAGCTTTCGAGGGCAAATAGTTTTGTCTGTCAATATCTGTGACACAGGCCTGCTATTCTACATGCAGCATTCGTATTGGGACAAATGTGGCATGAATGGCGAAGCTGTACTCTCCAGTGTAAGAGCAGTGAGTTTGGGTGAGCTTAACTTGAGGCAAGTGGAAAGTTGAATAGGATGAGTTCAATTAAGAAGAGAATCACTGCTTTCTAGACTTCTTGTCAGCCAGTGCTATTGAGTTTTGCTTACTGGGAGAATGAGCAAAAGTTATGATTTTAAATATTCTACCAATTGTGTACAAACTGAGCAGGTTCATTATTCTCATTTAATAGAAGAAATCATAAGCTACAATCAATGTTTTCCAAATCTAAAGCCAAATTTGCATAGGCTAACTCAAATAGATTTATTAACTTATTTCAGAAGCAACTATCCATAATTTGGAATACATTACAGCATGCACAAGAGACCACTATTTTCTACATAATTAAGTAAAACCTCCAAGTTCGCACTCATAATGTCTTCTCTATTTAAAGCTAACCACAAACCATAGTTAAATGTTTTCTTGCCAGCTGTACATATATTTATTGTGTAGTAGAGCTATGTACATGATTATCAGAGTATTTGAAACAAGTACAAAAATACACAAAAACAAGTACACAAACACATGACAAAACTGTATCAAAAACAGTGCCATCTTTATTACTGTCGCTCCTTCATCTGCTAGTATTGGTGGGCTAAGCCGAACAGTATATAAAGCAGAAGGGAGAAGAATGACCCATAAATAAGTCATCTGCTGCTGGATACATCTTATCCTGCATAACCAGCAGCTGGCTCCCACATCAGCTAGGTGCCTCTTACTAATCTTCATCTCTCTGTTTTACTAGCTTACCATCATAATTTGCAATGACAGTGTTTTCTCATTGCTAAATATCACGAATTGTGTTTGAAAAGATGCTGAAATATAATGCCAACAATGTCATTTTGTTCTAATTTGCAAATTTTCTAAAGTTATTGTCAACAAAATACAAACTATTTTTATATAAGAATATTATTCTCATTATGCTTAGATTTATAAGCCTATGCTTAAGTGCAGTTTGTTATCCTTTAGAATTGACCTGACAGCGCTTCCAATGACACATAGCCATGGTGAAATTAATATAATATTGATGGAGACCCATTTTTTCCCCATAATTTTATTGAGAAACAAATAGCAATGAGACAGTTTCAAATCAAATTGGTAGGACAGTTTCAATAATTCACACACACTGCATACATTCTTCCTAGTGATTAATTGCTACACAAGATGTGGACATGATATCCTATTTACAAACACCATTAGAACAAATCCCTCTATTCATTAAGAGAGTGTAACTATATATCTACCCTAACCACTTTGAACACACAGATACAAAATGGACATTCATCTGTATCCCCTTTTTTTGTTAAGTTCCATTATTTGAATATTATAGGTGTGTTAACTCAGCAAAATATTCTAAAAGAGTCCAGTAGCCCATAATAGTATTGGGTCTTCCGCTTCACTGGCAATGTCAGAAATTGTTGACCTGAGTCCCCTACAGCTCAACATAACAGCATGGCTTTACTTCTAATACTTCATTTTTATACTTTTCTGCTGGATGGTTAAGACCAAGGTAAAGCAGGACCTATGCAACAAGATTTGTAGCTTTTGGGTCTGATAAGGTCAGTGAAATCCCCTCAGGATTTATCCTGAGATCCTATACCTCAGATTGTAGATCCTTTGTCAGTTTCAGCCATGTGGATGAGTCATGGCCATTGCTTGGTCAATGTGCTCTCTGTGAAAGCCTGAGAGAATGTTTTCTCTCCATGTGACTCCCCTTAGGCACACTCTACATCATCGATCTCTTTCCTCTTTGGCCCCATAATCCTTGATCAGAAAATTTGGGACACTACTGAGTTACGTGATGTTACAGTACAAGGTCTCATATGTCCTGAGTCTTAATTGACCTTGGAAGGCTAGGGCCAAAATGTTGGTGAAGGAGACCCATTTAAAGGTACCTATAAAATTTTGCATACAGAAAAGTGAGGTTAAAAAATAGAATATTATGCATCATTTCTAAATTTTTTTTTAAAATTTATTGCATAAAGTCACAAATTTCATTATAAAATAGCTTCTTTTTCTGAATTTTCCCTTATTATTATTGCTAATCTGACCATTTATTGCATACATTGTATAGTAACATGAGAAGTACAGGAAAAACAAAAATGTGAAACAAAACAACAAAATACATTGATGTATTTATTAATATTGTGTTATTTAGCCTTTGTAATTTTGTTATGGCATTTCATCTTTTATATGTAGTATAAGAAAAATACTAAACAGCTTTAAAAGTATATATATATATAACTATGGAAAAGACTAAATTTGTTATTTCTCCCAACATTTTCTTTCTTTCTTTCTTTCTTTCTTTCTTTCTTTCTTTCTTTCTTTCTTTCTTTCTTTCTTTCTTTTTATTTTTATTTTTATTTATTTGCAGAACCAGGGATTAAACTCAGGCCCTTGTGCTTGCCAAGCAAGCGCTTATTCTACTGAGCTGTCTCCTGGGCCCCTCTCCCAACATTTTCATTGAAATCACATTACATACAAGTATATGTACTTACCAGCATGTGTTCTAAACTTCCGTGCAGTAATTTGGTGGCTCTGAAATAGTATGTAAGATGTATAACAAAACCATGGTATTCCATCAGAGGCATACAGAATTTATTGCAATGTGAAAAATACAATAATAAAATTTTATTATTCTATGATTCCTGAGGACAAGACAGAATGGGACAAAGTGGGAAAAATGAAAAAGAGAGAAAGAGATGAAGAAAAAGATCCTTTAAGTCGTCTGACTGTTTATGTGCACTTGAGAAAAACATTGGATGATAAATTATCTTGAAATGAAATGCTATGTACAGTATAGTAGAAAACTAAAACAAGTTTAACTCAAAAGCTATTTGTATGGAATGTTTTCAAGTACTAAGGATTTTTCTGGTCTCGCATATATTAACTAAATATAATTCTCAAAACATTCATTCTTTAGCATGATACATTGATAATATTGAAAAACGTCATCTTTTGTGGTTAAATAATTTCAAGAGAAAATATCACACTTATTTTTAATACAACAAGTTAAGGCCTTAGATATAAATTAAATAAAATTAGCGATAGTTTGATAATTTTTGGACAAAATGACCAAGGTACGGCATAGGGAGCATGAAGTGCCCATGCTCCTTCAAATTAATGTCTTGGTGTTTTACAGGAGGAATCCATGCTGTTCGAATTGGAAAATTGATAAATTCTTTTGGGTTTCGGTCATTAAGAATAAATGTAATGATTATTCTCAAACTACTATTCCTTTTAATGGGTAACATCTATACTTCCTGTATGTGGCTAGGTTCTCATGTGTACTTCCCACGTTAATTCCCTGACTAGGGACAAGCCACTGTCAGGGCCTCCTCCTATCACTCTAAAAAATAGAAACTTTCTGTCAATAAATTCTTCCTGCTCTAAATAAATAAATAAATAAATAAATAGATTCATGACTGTTGCCTTGTTAGTTTACAAAGCCTCTGGTAAAGTGTGTGCTTTAAAATACCACTTTTCCTCTTGTTTGAATTTTCTATTAGAGACTTGTTTTCAGGTTAAAATTTTATTTAAAATTAAAATGTAAGCCATTCTCCTAGCTTTGGCACATTTTGATACCCCATATGCACAATTCTTCATGAATATATGGAAACC